CTCTCTCTCTCCCCCCTCTCTCTCTCTCTCTCTCTCTCTCCCCCCCCCCTCTCTCTCTCTCTCTCTCTCTCTCTCTCTCTTTCTCTCTATCGCCGTGTACACAAAGCCGATTGCGGCCAACTCGTTGGCGCGTCGTCGCTGCTTTTCCACGTAGAGGCGAACGCGTATTACGTGGTGACTAGTTGGCTCGTCCTCGTCTAAGCGTGTCACCGTCCGCATTGCCGGCCCGGAGATCGTACTCGCTCGTACCACGGGGGAGGATAAAGATCCTACCAAGCCGTCGATCGCTGACCCTTTGCCGGCCTTTCCTTCTTTCCTCAGTCCCATTCCACTGGCTTTCATTTGCTTGGCTTTTATCATCACTCCTCCACCCCCACCCTCGACGACTTATCAAATCGTTAGAAAAATAGTTCGCTCCGTACTATGGGAATTCATATTCATCGCATTTTACGTTTTATAAGGTGGGTTGTGCCGCGAATCTAAACTTTCATTTTTACTCCCACTCGGGGAACGGGCACTGATTAGACTAATCGACGCCCCCTTGACTGGCGAATCCTGCAATTAGCGTGGCTTCTCTTCGATCGCGCACGATCATGTTTATGCGTCGATGAACTTTCTAATCGATTGCGCGGCGCTTATGGATGTCGCTTTTCACCCTATTCAATTCCAAAAAATATACGCATTTAACGCGTTAAATTTAGGCCTTTACACGACAACCGAATTGCCGCGTTACGGTCTCGACAAAATCGCTAATCCCAGGACCATGAGTCAGCATTGCTGGACTACCATTTCATGTAAATGTATTTCTCATCGATCTTGCCATGGCCTTTACGTGAATCCTTCGAACGTAACGGACTGAAAGCCGCTCGACGTGTCTTTAATTCGACGCGTTCAAAGAGGGAAGAAAAATTCGTGTACAATATAATCTGACAATAACGCTGGCTCGAAGGATACTAGGGTGCTTGAGGATGAACGCCTCAACCGGATTAAGGACGAGTAGTAGAATCGCCAAGAACCGACGCGTTGGTTATAACGGCCATATAATATGCAAAATGTCAGATGTGTGTATCGAGCGACGAACGAACGTGAAATCCCAGCGATCGCGTATCGTAGGAATCACGGCCGACGACGTCAGGTGGGTCGTTGGGGAAGTGGATAAAAAGCGGGAGGAGGGTGGATGGGGAGAGGGAATGTCCCACGAGCAAATTCACTTAACTCGGTAAGGGCAAATTTTGTTGCCTAACTCACTAAAGAAGAACTTAAAGGAAATGCCTCGTCGTTGCCAAGAGACAGTGGCTTTTCATAAATGCAAAGTAAACGCGTTCGCACATATCGTTCTCTCCTCGACTTTCATAATTGAGAAAATCTTGGTGGCCCAACTTTAAAGCAAATATTATTTAATACGGAGTTATTGAAATTCAGCGCTCGACGAACGTAAAACTGTATTCCATTCTTTCTTCATCGTCTTCTTCGACTTCGACGCTTTCTCGCATTAAGGTACACAAGCGTCATGCGGACGGATTCTTTTCCATTGTTCAGCGTTTATGTAAAATGTGTGGAAATGTGGCAGTGAATAAGGAGAGGGAAAATTAATGTAATTGGTCTTGAATAATAAATAAAGCCTATCGCGAAAACAACGTCTCCATTCTCGCGCACGCGTTTTTGCAAGCTCTTGCACAATACGACAAGGCCAGCGCAAATAATGACAAGGACAAACGAGCAGTGACGAAGAGTCCTTCCGTGGACACGGCATGACCAAGAGACGTCTATATCGAATAATCAGAAAGCCATGCGATAGCGTAAGGACCGTTGGAGCTCCTGGATAATTTCAAGCATAAACAGCAGGCCCATTCCGCTGCGACCCCGTTCAAAAGCACCAACCGAGCAATTTTATAAATAAATTCTATGGGGTGAGCTGATCATTGGCCCATCCAGCGTTTACCTTTGCTTCGAAAGACAAAGTCCACGTGACGTCCACGTGCTCGAGTCCCGACGACCCATGCGCGGGTATGCCAGATGGACCGAGGGCTACTATCATTTTCGGTCCCGGCTACCGATACGACGAGGCCCAGCCGATTCTCACGAGGAGCCACTGAATCCGGAAGATCCTTAAAGCGATGGTGTCCGTCGAATAAATACATCAAGACGTCATCGCGCAGCCGTCGAGCGACAATAAATACTAATTACACGGCGATGAGAAGGACGCGCGAGCGAGATCGCGGAGTCTTTAGAGAACGACATTGTCGGGGCTTTTTACGGAAGGCGAAGAGGATGATTAGCGTGGGACTGGCAACTCCGCTCGGTCCATTCGGCCGCAACCGCAACTGGAATTGGAGTTCTCCTTGGCCCCTCTGGGATATGAATTTCCAATGCTAAGAGAGGTAACTTGGGGAGTGCAGTGGCATTGGATAAGGTAGCGGCAACGGGGACAAAATTTGCGGCGGAAGGACAAGAGAAGCCGGGATTTTAAATTTTCCTCTCGTAAGGGACGCTGTTGCTGCTTGTCAGCTCTCTCTCTCTCTCTCTCTCTCTCTCTCTCTCTCTCTCTCTCTCTCTCTCTCTCTCTCTCTCTCTCTCTCTCTCTCTCTCTCTCTCTCTCTCTCTCTCTCTCTCTCTCTCTCTCTCTCTCTCTCTCTCTCTCTCGTTCGCAGAGCTCAGTCGTGCACGTGCGCGAAACGAAAAGCTGAAAGCCCTACCCCGCCCCCGGGACGAAAGGGGCAAACGACACACGAGTGAGAAGTAAGTGGATAGAAATAACGCGCTTGACGCGGCGCCGATGTAACCGGCGGCTCGACCACGTAACAGATGTTTAAGCGCTTCGGGATTTTCCGTGGTCGTGGTAAAAAAAAACGTTACAGCGAGTCTCTACGACTGGCTCCTCGGGGTCCGCTGTTCGCCCTAATCCCCGGTGGACCCTCGACGACTTCACCGTCACTCCTTACTTTCGACATCGGCCACATACTAGGATAACTCACCGTCACGATGGAACGATGTTAAAATCGTTCGCGCAGCCAATCGCGGAGACGAAGACGTCGAAAGCCGAGTTATCGTTATCGTAAGAAAATCCAGGGGACGCGGAGGCTCGAGCGATATGTAAAAAATACCGGAGTACCTCTACTTACTTTGGTTATCCGTGAGGATAAAGGTGCGGGTATCGCGAGGGGCCGAGGGCTGGGGCGCCGAGGCGTCGGAGCGGGAGCCGTGGGGTGGGGCCGGGTGGCAGGGTGGAAGAGGGAGGGGTATCGAGAAGTGGATGACTGTCGAAAACTTTCAAATCCTCCATTATCCCTCCCTCGAGAATCATACCGCGGGTATCAAAATAGCGTTTCAGGCTTACCTTGGCATACTCCCGGGGCGTCTCCTGGCGATGATGCTCTCTTCGGCTAGGGGACTGCCGTCGTTCTCCTCTCCCACCCTGTCACTCTTTCGCTCTTCTTCTTTCTTTCACCCTGTCTCCCTCTTTCGGTAATTCCTTGCCGCCTCGGTAGTCTATCGTTCTCTCTCTCACTGTGTGCTTCTTTATTTGTGTTCGCTCTAAGCTGCCAGAGTATGGACAATCCTCGTCGTCATCATCGTCGCCGCCACTAGCACCGGCGCACTCGCCCGTATTTCGCGCTGCACACGCATTCGGCTGGACGGAAAATGCGCACAGGCACGAATAACAATTCTCCTCCGCCCCCTCCTCTACGCCGCCACCTACGTGCTCTCAATCCGCGTGCGTACAGGTTAGGAAAGCACTGCGCCACCGCACGGCCGAGTTGGAAGCTCGCCTACGCCCGGGCCCTCGGTCTCTCACTCTCTCTCTCTCTCTCTCTCTCTCTCGCTCTGTCTCTCTCTCTCTCAATCTCTGTCTCTATCTATCTATCTATGTATCTATCTATCTATCTAACTATATCTCTCTCTTTCACTCTATATATCTCTGTCTATCTCTCTATCTCGCTGCCCCTATATATACATGGGTGATACCGCACTTGCCAACCGTGTGAGAAGAGCCCCTTTTTTCCTCACTCCCTCTCTCTTTCTCCTTCTCTTTAAGTCAGTCAGTCAGTCTCGCGGGGCGCGATGTAAGTCGCATGCACACCCACGCGTGTGGCAAGAGTGAAGTTGGCAGGAGTTGGCTTCTCTCGCGACACGACCGACTCGCCGACTGTTGCTCCTCTCGCGATATCGCGACTTGGCTCGTTCCGCGCGAACCCCTTGCGGCCCCTCAATCCCGCGGCCCTCCCATCCTACGAACTGCTCGGCACTCTTTTCCGGCCGTGGCGAGCCGAGTCTCGGCGGAAACGCCCGAGAGGCTCGAAGCTTGGGCTTCGCGACCGAATGCGCGGCTACTGCGCCGACCTCTCTCTCTCTCTCTCTCTCTCTCTCTCTCTCCCATCCTCCCCCCGCCCCCCGCTATCACTCCCTCGCTCCCAGCCTCTCTCTCTCTCTCTCTCACTCTCTCACTCACTCTTCTCTCGGGTTGTCTACATGTACGTCCGTCCGTCTGTCCGTCTGTCTCTCTGTCTGTCTGTCTGTCCGTCCGTCCGTCGGTCCGTCTGTCTGTCTAGCTATCTGTTTGCACGTCCGTCGGTCGTCCGTCCGCCCTTCGCTCTCGCTCTCTATCTCTCTAGTGCTGATGCGCTCCGCACAAACGTTGCAACCGTTAGCTTACTTCCCCTCAAGGACAGCCGATTATTACGCGCAATCGGCTTCGATTTCCTTCCCCCGCGATCCTCCGACCTATCGTGCTCGAGATACGCCGCGCTCTCGGCCTCAACGCCACAAAATCTCCTACCATCTCCACTCTCCTTCCGCATCCCATCGTCCCTACATCCCCATGAATAAAACATCAATCCCCTCCCGCATTCTTTCGTCTTGACTTATTTCATGTGTTACGCATAGGCGAATGCGCTCTTTCGCCAAGCCGCATTCTGTCGGACGCTGCTAAGCACCGAGCCAAGCTTCCACCTCTAGACCCGCTTGTCCGCGACTGCGAGCGTGCTTGCGTGCATGCGTACACGCGTGCGTGCGCGACCGCTTTCATGCACGCGCACGCCACTGGAACGTCGGTCGACGATGCACAAAGTGCTTTAATCTAATAGAACGGCACGATATAGTTGATGAATGGAAGGAAAATCGACAATCCGGACGGAGCTTATGAATAAAATTGTCCAACCACGTCACAGTGCCTCCTTACTCGTGCATATCTCGGCTCGGGATTCGAGCAGCCGCGTTTAAAGGGTCGGATCACTCTCTCGGGAGAGATGGCAACGCAGAAATTATCTCGGAAATTAGCGAATCTGTATTTAAAGGGTTCGTGATCGATGCAAGATCGTGCTCCCATCCCCGACAGTCACACACGAAATGCTACGTGAAGGTCTCTTTCGGCCTCGCTCGAACCGCGCCTTCGCCCAAGACATCTTAATTGCACGTCATCGACGGGCGTCAGAAGGCGCGAAAAAAAAAGGAAGGAGAACTGCAGGCGCGCGCGCGCCTGCTAGAGCATGACAGAGAGGCACGAAACGTGGCTACGGGCCATCTCAGGCGATTATACCGTACGGGGAAGCCGGCACGGCCTGCCGCACGTACGAGACCGCCGCTATCCTGCCGGATCCGCAAAATTTTTGCCACCCGGTGGAGGCAGAGGGAAGAAAAGAGATGGAGAGTGGCGGAGTCTCGTTTTCCCGTCCACCTCGGTTTTTCGTCGAGCCGCGCGCCTCGCTTACGTAGCAACGACGAGCTTCCTGCGGGTCTCCCTCTCGCCCCCTCCTTATCGCGCCTTATCCGCGCGCTCTCTTTCTACCCGCTGCCGAAGTCGTTCCATCCCCTCCCCGCCGCCGCGGCCGCCATTGCCGCCCCTTTCGTCGCTCTCCGCTCACCGCCTCCTCTTCCTTCTCCTCCTCCTTATCCACCGCCGCAGCCCCTCGTCGTCCGCGCCGCTACCCCGCCACGCCGACCGCAACCGATACCCCCCGCCCCGCCGCATCCGCCGCGCAAACCCGAGGGCCGCTCCTTCCTTGCAGTACTCGCACGTACACACCCCGCGCCCCGACTCGCGCCGCCGGAGTCTTGCGAGAAAGCCAAGCGTGGTGGAGGGCCGCTACGTATGTGCGAGCAAGCGATGGTCTCTCTCTCTCTCTCTCTCTCTCTACTTTCCTCTCTTC